ATTCTTCAATAAATCTTCACCTTTGCTATAATACCTTCTGTCCGTGGATTCATTCTTCAACTCTGGTGGACAAAGAATCCAGGTTCCAGTCCAAAAATTCCCTATCAACTGCACCACTGCATCAATTCTCAAAAGGTTTTCCCACCTGACAGTGACATTTTTAGTTGAATTATTATATCTAAGATTATTGGTGTAAAAACATGTGTGTTAGGTATTTGCAGACAAAATTGTTCAACTTCAGATATAACCAAAGTGCTGCATTTTCTTAAAGGTTGGAGGAATATCCTAAGGCCATGGATGGGAGTGTATTGTAGGATCTCCTTTCTGATTCATACATATAATGAATCTGTTTTTAAGTCACTGACAACAAAAATAATATAATCCATAATTATGTCTCAGAGAGACTCCAGTGATTTTTGTGGCAGGACTGAATCTCCTATGAAGATTTGAGAAACTCACACAGAAAACAGTGAGCCCAGCATCTATCTATATAAAAGCCTAAGCAAACGTCACAACTGAAGGGACAACTGAACAGGCTGTGTCGGGCGACCAGGCTGACAGGGGGGTTAGTGAGGGGTGACCAAAGGACCAAGCAGCAGGCTGCGTGGGCAACCAGGCCAGCCGTGGGGGCAGTTGGGGGCAACCAGGCTGGCAGGGGGGGAGGGGACAGTTGGGGACAATCAGGCCAGAAGGCAGAGGAAGTTAGGGGTGATCAGGCTGGCTTGGGGGGGCAGTTAGGGGTGATCAGGCAGGCAGTCAGGTGAGCAGTTAGGAGGCAATGGTCCAGGATTGTGAGAGGGATGTCAGACTGCAGGTTTAGGCCCGATCCCTGGACATCCCCTGAGAGGTCCTGGATTGGAGAGAGTGAAGGCTGAGCTAAGGGGACCCTCCTCCCGGCTGTGCACAAATTTTGTGCACTGGGCCTTTAGTTGGCCCAGAAGAACATATATCCAGACTCTTTTTAACAGACAAGAATGACCTTATAGAGAAGGAGGGAAGAGAGGAATAACAGCAAGAAGACTGTATCGATCTATTGCATACATTCTGGTTATTGTTCTAGACTCCAAGTGTCTCCCCAAAGGGAAGCATCACAGGGATAATTTATGTGCCTATTGAAAGTAATCTTCTATGCATGTGTGGCTGAAGAATTATCATTTATTTTCCCTCCATCATTACAGGTCTCCCAGGGGTTATACAAATAACCAGTATCTTTGTATCCTAAACACTAAGCCAAAGTTGAGATATGAGCATATTAAAATCCAGTTTAAAAAATAATTTTATTTTACCAATGATCTCATTTATTAATTGATGACTGCCTTTTAAAGCCTTCAGGGGAAGACAGAAACTTTCAAATCTTTTCTCTGAGAGTTAAAACTTTCATTTAAGGATTCCAGATGGGCCAAATTTAAATATTAAAGTTCAAATGCTTTAATCTCCAATAGATGAAAGGAATTTTACACAGTTTTGTTCCTCATTTGCCACCCAGTAGTTCTTCAATCCCAGCCAAATTGGGCACCGGTTTAAATTAGATTTACTCATGGGACCCATAACAATCACAGTCAACAAAGGATATTAAGGAGTTTGGGAAATAGGTCTATTAAATGACAAAACTGTTAGCCTTCCAGAGCTAATTTTCAGTTAATTTGACCTCTGCAGACAGTTGTATTAAACTGCTGTAAACAAAGAAATCTGCTTGAACATGCAAGCTGAAATCTGATCCTGATTGTTAAGGCCTGGTAATGGTTATGCTTTATGTTCATGTTAAAATGTCTTCAGCTATTCCTCTGAATAAGTGACTTCAAAATCACTTCCTACACAACTACTTAAGTCTTCCTAAAAGTCCTAACATTTGCCAGAGAATAATCTAGCTGAACTTTTTCAGAAAAGTCAGCAGAGGTCCTGGATAGTGGCTGGCTTTTCCTTTTTGTATGAAGTCTCACAAAAATTCTTATCACTGGGTGCTCTCATCCTGGAGCAGAGTAAACAGGGCTTCTCATCTAGAACAGCGGTTCTCAACCTGTGGGTCATGACCCCTTTGGGGGTCAAACGACCCTTTCACAGGGGTCGCCTAAAACCATTGGAAAACACATATATAATTACATATTGTTTTTGTGATTAATCACTATGCTTTAATTATGTTCAATTTGTAACAATGAAAATACATTCTGCATATCAGATATTTACATTACGATTCATAACAGTAGCAAAATTACAGTTATGAAGTAGCAACAAAAATAATTTTATGGTTGGGAACTGAGGAACTGTATTAAAGTGTTGCGGCATTAGGAAGGTTGAGAACCACTGATCTAGAATGTGCCTGAAATTGGCCATCAAAAGTCTTAGATTATCCATAACCTTTGATATAGTATTTTTACTTCCAGGATATATTCTGAAGAAAAAAATCAGATACTTGCACAAAGATATATGAACAAGTGTGCTTGTTGCAGCATAGGATGTAGGCAAAACATAAAGCGAGTTTGTTTTGGTATTTCCTCCTGCCTCATTCTTTTTAATCCTCCCCATATGCCAAATCACCTCTTCTATCTTAGAAATCTTTGAAGTTTCACTTCCTACGAGGCAATTACCTGAGAGCTGTGCCCTCCACGGGGCCTTTCTGCATCAAAATCTACCTATATGGTAATGTAAGACATCTGTAAAAAATGTTTGTTAATTTATTTGAGCCAAACTGTCAACAATTGCCAGAAAGCAAAATCTTCTTGAGAAAGGCAATTTTGTAGCTTATTTTATATGTTACAATCAAAAGACAAGAAGTAATGGGTTACATTAAAGTAATGGTAGATTAGGGAGTTGGAGAAAGCAAAGCTGGGAAATATCTGAGTGGATAAAAAGTAAAATGATACATCTTTTACATTAAGTGGGTATAGGATAGTTAATAGTGTCCAATTAACAAGACAAAAATAATAATGAGAGGGTTTGTAGTCTCTGCTCTGGTGCATTGGTTGTGGCCTGGGGATCTGGAAAAAGGGGGAGTTAACCTGCCAGTCCAAAGGTATATTATCATAGATGCAAAAAGACAATGCACAGGCTCAGATAAGGTAAAGACTGACTTTTGTCAGGGAAGTTCTAACCTGTCATGAACTGCTTTTAGTTTAAAAGTTTTAATTTCATCCCATCCTTGGAGGTTACTTCAGGTCTCTGAGTTTGCAAGCAGCCATGCAGGCCTTCCCTGAGCTTGTCAGGTTAGCATGTGGCCCCTTTTTGTCCACATTCATGTCCCCCATACCCTCAGGATAACATTCTTCAGTCTGCCAGGCTAAAAAATCAGATACACTTTTTATACTGGAGTGTTAATAATGAGTAAGGTAACCCTCTACTGTGTAATATTTTACATTTTACCACAAGACCTTCCTTGATTCTGCTTTCAATGAAAAATGGTATTAACATGGAAATTTTAGGTCCAAAATAACCCAGTAGTTGGGGGTTTCTGTTTGTTTGTTTTTTGTTTTGTTTTGTTTTGTTTTGTTTTGTTTAGTTGGCCACTTTTCATTTATTTTGAAAGCTAGTCAACACATCAGACAGTATAAAAAGGGTAGAATTAATATTTTATTGTCATTTATAATCAGATGGTAGTTGAGTCTATAGTCTCTATATTTGATCTATTTTTTTTGTAAATAAAAAAAAAATTATAAGAGCCAATGGCTAGTTAACATGATTAAATGAATTCATTGATGGTGGCTTCGAGTTTTTCCTTATTAGCTCCAGAAAACTCACCCATCTTTTGTCCTTTTTTAAAAAAACTGCAAGGTTGTCATGCATTTCACTTCACACTCTGCAGCAACATCCTGATAGTCATCCACATCTACTTCAAGGAATACCACATTGGAATACTTTTCAGAGAGGGAATGAAAGAAGCGCTTGATCATTTTGCAAGGCTCACACCACGTAGCAGAGAAGTCAACCACTAATAGCTTATCTCCTGCACTGTTCAAGGCTCCTTGAAATGCATACTTGCTCTCGATCTGCTTCACCATTTTGGCAGCTGAGGTCTGACCAGTTACTGTAGGAAGCGATGGGAATGGATGAAAAGCTGCAGACCAAGCTCCAATAGTTGTTTTTATTGTTTAAAATATTTTTTGTGTATGCACGTGTGTATACATCTTTGTTTATTCTTTATTTTATTATGAAAAGATATTCATGCTTATTATGAAAATGTGGGAAAGAATAAGGAAAAGGAAAATAAAATGAATCCATTTTGCCACCATGCAGAAATTTTATTTTAAAAATTCTATTGTGTTTCTCTCCAGTCATAATAATGTTATCTGGGAAACTGAGTAGACTGTAACAACACAAACTGCAGAAGTTGGAGTCCTTACAATATCTCAAGAAAAACAGTATTCTAAGACACACAGGAGGATGAATGATTTTTATTTGCATGTAATTACATCCCTGGGTTTCAAAAGTTCCATTGCCCTTAATAAGTTCCTAGAAGAAGTGTAGCTGGGGATTCAGCAAATCTAAAGGCAAAATCAGTATCCGGAGTCTCTATTCCATGTTGCAGCCAGGTCCAGTTCACATCAGACTAGTTGTCTGATGTTGTCCATTGTGTGTGGAGGTCCACAAGGCCATGGGCCATGTGAGGAAACACGAGGGAGGCAAGAGAGCATGCGCCAAGCAACAAGAGTCTCAGGGATAGCCAAGAGTAACAAAGAGCAACCAAGAGCACAAGAGAAACCAAGAGAGTGAATTCCTTTGTTCAGGGGATTAAATACCCAAAATGTTACACCCGTGCAGTGGCCATGCCTATTCTGACCAATGGTCTGTTCCCAGGAGTGACTGACAGGAAAATATCTTCTGATGTCATTCCAACTTTACTAGGCATGTCTCTATCAACCCTCTCTTGGACCCCTGGGGAGTATAAAGTTGTAGCTTCCTGGTGAAGCTACTGAAATGGCATGTCTATAATATTTGGTCTTCTTTTTGCTCTTTTTCTGATATTAATAACTCGGTTAATTACGTTGGTGTCATTACCTCCAGAGAAAAAAAGGAATCTCATTGTAGTCTTACAAAGGAGAAATGGACGTAGTTCCCCATCTTCTTGTAACTGCTTCAGGAGAGAAAGAAAAAGACATGAGCATACTCCTTGAGGGAAAGCCTGCTGGGTCCTCCATCCACAGAGTTTTAAGGGTGAAGATTTTAGGGGAGATCCCAGGGGAAGATCTCAATAGAATATTTAGAAACTCTCCTGGTGTGTCCATTCAGGGTTGTGGTCTCTACTGATTTGTTGGCCAGCACCAGGGGAGGGGTAACTATTCCATGCAGCGAGTTCTGATGTCAGCTGGGGCTGGTTTTGTTGCTTATCTGGGCCTGGAGCTCTAAGGAGGGAAGGTCAGAGGGGTCCAAACCACGAGACCACCAATATGCTAGGGGAGGAAAAGTCACCCTGAAGGCAAGTTCCCCCCATATAATTCATTGTCCCTTGCTAGGCACCTGTGGTTTTTTACCCTGGTGGCCTTATATATCTGGCCCATTGTCCTTTCTCTGCTCATATCTGTCTAACTGCCTGTAATACTTTGGGGAACTCACAGGGCAGGAGCAAGGAGGCAGAACTCTATACCCAGGACTGCAGCTTCAACCAGTATCTGCCCCTGCTCTTCCTGTCTGCCATGTGCCCACAAATTTCAAGTCTGCTGAGAACAGCACACTGTTAAGGCAGAGACACAGGTGATACTGTTAAGAGCAGAAATAGAATATTGGAGAGTAGCTATATGTTATAAGAAATATTAATCATGCTCTGTTAATCCTGATCGTTTTGTTCTAATTAAAGAAAGCACATTCTAACCTGGCCAGGAGTTGTATGCCCAGGGACCTGGGAGTCAACCTTTTGACCTGGGAGTCAACTTTGCAACATGGGCCTTTCTCTTTAGAAAACTGCCTATTATCACGGAAAGATTAACAACCTTGTTGCCCGAACAATGGCATCCCACCTCCAGCCCCCAGCCCACATTGCCTACTTTCCTGCACCTGTAATATCGATATTGCATGCCCATTCTTATTCTCTTTGCCTACTTCCCCATGTATTCTTTGTCCTACCCAATATAAGCAGCTGGCTGGGCGGGAGGGTGGGGAGGGGGGCAGGGGAGGCAGGAGAAGGGGTTGTGAAGAGCAGATTTTCATGGATGACCTATTACTCTTCCATATTGCCAGGATTATTGGAATAAATGCTCATGTATGGTTCAACCCTGTCTCTGGTTAATCCCTCCAGATAATGGGTTTCTGTCAACTCAGTGGTCCCAAGACCCGAAACTATAATTAATCTTTGTAGATAACTAATCGGCTCAATCTAGTTTCTGTAACAAACTGCTTTTTTTTTTGCAAACCAGGTTCCTCATTCCAAACCCTGGGATGTAATCGACACCTTTGTGATTTTTGCCTATATAAATCTGGTGTTGGGGCCATCTTATCACTGCAAGATTTGGGAGAGCGAAATGCCCCCTCATAGTCCTGGATTGCAATAAATGTGATTCTTTAATTCGACTCCTTGAGGCGTCCTTCTGTGATTTGCGGAGTACATTACAACAGCTCAAGTAGTTACAGGCAGCCGGTTTCATATTCTGGCAACCCAGATGGGACTACAGGTGGGCCTCTGGGTTGAATACCAGGGATCCCATTTCCTGCCTGGACTGGGGGTTCTTGGGGCTGAGGCCTGGACTCACTTGCAACACTGCCAGGAATTTTCCTGTTTTGAATCCTAACCACAGCCTCAGCAATTTCCATCATTTCACCTAAGACCTAAGTTGAATTGAGAATTTTGTAACTCTGTAAAAAGGGGGGTCTGTTGCATGTTGTCTGTTGCCCCCCATCTGGTATGAGCTGAATCAGCTCCTGGTTGCAAGTGGCCTTTCACAGTCCTTGCCTGCTTTTCACACCTGAGCCTGATCAGGTTGAAACACAGCCCTGCATGGCTAGGGCATTCTGTCTGGTATTCTGTCTGGCTGTGCACAGTAAGCCACAAATGGTTGTCTGTTGTCCACACTTATAAATATTGTATACTAGGGTGGTTTATCCTGGTATAACTTTGCCTGTAATCTTGTTTAATTCTTTAAGGATTGGTGCTGGTGGCTGGATCCTAGAGGATACTCTAGTGCAGGGGTGGGCAAACTTTTTGACTCGAGGGCCACAATGGGTTCTTAAACTGGACCGGAGGGCCGGAACAAAAGCATGGATGGAGTGTTTGTGTGAACTAATATAAATTCAAAGTAAACAACATTACATAAAAGGGTACAGTCTTTTTTTTTTTCTAGTTTTACTCATTTCAAATGGGCCGTAGTTTGCCCACGGCTGCTCTAGTGGGATGGATCTTGGGGGATTGGGCTACTTACACTTATCTGCCAATGACAAAAAGGAAAATGGTGTTTTACTGCAATACTGCTTGGCCTATGTATGCTTTAGATTCTGAGGAAAGGGAGCCATTAAATTGGTCTTTAAACTATTATACTGTATTATAGCTAGAATTGTTTTGTCAGAGGGCAGGAAATCGGGGGAAGTACCTTATGTTCAATCCTTTATGTCTTTGCATAATTCTGACTCGAAAGAAAAGAAAGAAAGGGCTAAGTTCATGGTTCAGAGAAAAGATGTGGTACCTGTAATACAAAAAGGTAGGGAGCAGGAGAATAAGAGGGAGTAAGAGTATGCCTTGCAGTCCATAGTTCAGAAACTTCCACTAAGTGTTCCAAAAGCTGGGAGCTCCCTCCTTTTCCTGAACCACTAGGCACTGAAACTGAGCCAGAGACAGCCACCCTCTAGATTAGAAAGAGGCAGGGAACTGAATTTGGAAGGGATAAAGTTGCTTCCCTAGCAGAACAATTCCCTCTCCACCATATAACAGTGGGAGCCACTGAGAATGGGCACTCAGCAGAATATTATTGGACCCATACGCCCATTTTCCACCTCAGATTGGCTAAATTGGAAAGCTTCCTACCTGGATGACCATGCTAAGATCAAGACTTTATTTCCATATTCGCCACACATAACCCCACCTGGGAGTATACCCAGGCACTCTTCAATGGCCTCTTAACTGGGGACAAGAGGATATTAGTGTTTGGGAAAGCATGGTGTGAAGCTCTTGTCTGTGGGTGATGCATGCCTGTAAATATTGTATGTGGATCTCTCTGTTGATTGTTGTTTTGTGTTGCTTTGTTTGTTAAAGATGGGGTATTTCCTACTTTGTTGGGGGCTGCAGCTGTTTATGGCAGGCTGAACCCATGGAAGGGATTGCAGGAACTTCCTAGCAGCTGCAGAGAGTTCTTACTCTTGGGGACCCTCTCTGAGCTCCCTCTCAAGGCAGCTACCCAAAATGCTTAGCTAGTGATAGTTTTGTCTATCTATAATGTAACTTTGGTTAAGGATGCTCTTTGCTTGCTTTCTTATTTTGGGGGGAGCTTGGTTTGCTCTTCGCCATTTTATGAACACAGGTAAACCTTTGTCTCTGCTGTTTTGGATTTGTACCCCTCAGAACCGAAGGTTATTTGTTGTACTGGGTTAGTGTGAGAAGATTCTAAGGCTAATGCCCCAGTCCTTCCTTTTGGGAGTACTCATCCATTTACTTCAGGGGTTGTTGTTTTTTATGTTTTGAAATAGGATAAGACCTCTTTTTATATGCAAGATTTTGTGTTGTTACAGTCTACTCAGAAGGGAAAATATGGGAAATAAAACCTTGTAAATCCCTCAAGTTTTTCTCCTAGGAGGCCAGAGCTTCAGAAGTACCTCAGGCAGGGGCCACTCCTACTTTGTAAATAAATAAATTGTAAAGTCTTTTGTAACGTAAAACTTTGGAGTTCATCTGAGTTAAATAGTAAAAGTATTAAATATCTAAGTGTTTTGAAATAACAGAATACTGAAATATTAATCTGAGTTTGCCTACTTTTGGCTTATACAGAGAATCTAGAGAATGGATTTGACTCTGTTAATGAATATGTCTTGTATTTTATTTTATATCTCTTAACATTGTAAATGTATTGCTAATCTGAGTAATGTTAATTACATACTTGTCACTTAAAAATTCAGGTTTCTAATAGTTAAAATTTCTAATTGGAAAGAA